CAAAGATGTTGAAAATCAATGTCAAAGTTAGGTATGGAAAATTAGGCAATGTTAGGCATGGTTGAATAAAAATAAATTAGGTGAAATTAATGTGTTTTGTGTGGTAATAAATAATCTTAGTTTATTCATTTGGTTTGCTATAAATACCCAAGTTCTCAAGCATTGTAAATCATCCAAGGAAAAACAAAGCCTAGAGCTAAATAAGAAAAGCTTTGCTAACTAGTTTGTTTTGTGAGCTTTCTTTAAGAGTGTGTTCTATTTTCTTCTTCTTGGGATCATTAGAGTTATCTTGGATACTCTTCTTATTCAACAGTCCACGGCCAAAAATTCTGTTTTATTGAATGGTTGCTCATGAATGAATCCTTTTATGAACATCTTTGCTCCTATAAGTTTTCTGTTGCAGGCTGTTGTGGCATTGAAGTCGCCTTCTGAACGTGAAACACATCTGCCCTTCCAATGAGTAGGGATTGGCCCAACCCCGTCATCTTTTAGCATTTTTGACTCTGGCCATATTCCAGTGTCAATGATGCCAATGATAACCCCATCTCCCATGTTGGTCTCATGCATTAAATTGGTGGGGGAATGAGAAGAGATGCCTAGGTAATCCCAACTCCTAGTAGTATGCGGTGTGTAAAAGCTATTTGGCCTGACATGAACAACTCCAGAGCACTCTATCAAGATTGAACAGCAGTAATAAAATCATTAGTTATGATCCGAAATTTTTGGGGCAACATAATTGTATGTTCAAAAGTACGCACCTGAAATCTTCTTGGCTTGCGATCCTGTAAGCTTGGCTGCGAAGCCAGAGAAGCCGTGTTTATAGCTATAGACCATTGATTCAATGGCGGCTTCTTTGCTGTGACATACGGATTAAACCACACATATTTAGCAACCATTTTTAGATATTTTATCTGCGTGTATTCAATTGAAAATTTGTGAGATTTTAATAGATTTATAAATCCATAGAGATTAATTGAGTTATAGAGATTTCATGCAAAATTTTGATTCAATTCCCTCGAAATCTCAAGAGGAGAGGAAAGATTTGTGAATGCTTAAATTACACTACAAAATCTCTTCAATTCCCTTAAACTCCTCAACTTTTTTAAACTATTTCAAATAATTAATTAAATACATCTGAAAATGTTATAAACTTATTTGAAGTCCTAATGGAATACAACCAGATTTCTAAGAATTTTAATAAATTATCTTAAAATCCTGATTGAAGATGTTAAATTTCAGAAAATTACTTAAAATCCAAATTGAATATCTCTAGATTCATTAAAATAATTAAAAGCCCTTAAATTCTCAATTGAATAAACTAAATTAAGTCACATTCAGTCATGCAATTAAGTTTAAAAAGCAGCAAAACCATGAATTAAGCTAATTTATCTACAGATGTCTATACTGAACTCATTCCTGAAATTAGATCCTATCATCTCCATATCTCTTCACTGAGGATCCCGAAGATCAATTGATACCAACCGTTTATCAAAAATCGTGTAACCACAGCTTTTCTCTTTTTTTATATTTTCAACCGTTTTGCGTGAAAAATATTAAAAATATAAAACTATGATCACACAATTTTTTATGAAGATTTGTATTAATTGATCCCTGAAATCTCCAATGAGGAAGTCTGGAGAGGATCTCTCTTTCTTTATGGAGAAGATTGAAGTAGCGTGAGGTGCTAATGTTATGTGTGTAAATTTACCTGCCAACAACTGATGCCAGCATATCATGATGTAAATCGGTTAAACGCTCAGGATCCTCATTGTGCTTCGCACCCAAATAAACTATGTGGAGCTACATAGGATAGGCAGTAATTTACAGTTAGTAATCCACCTAAAAAAAACAAAAATTCTTCACTCCATTTTTTCTCCACCTGCATACTTACTTTTATATATGGCTTTCAGATCGAATAAATTAAAAGAAAATTTAGAGATATAAATTTAAAAAAAAAAAGAGAAAAAAAAAAAGAAAAAGAAAAAGAAAAGAGTGCGGAAGGCTTTTGAAGCAGACTTACTTTACTCTTGCCATCAACTGGTGCAATCAGAGTGTTGTTGCCATTGAAAACTAACAAAAAACTCACTGCCACAAATAGTAAGGCCTTGTCGATCTTACCATTCACCCGGAGGAAACCCATTCTCTCTCTCTCTCAAACAGATTTGCTGCAATAAATTGAATTGAATGCGGATAATTATACGAGAGGAATCGAGTGGCGCACGTGCACACGTCGACACGTTTCAGACGCGTCGCGGTGGAGAGATCCATGTGCGGAGCAAATACGGAAGTCTTTTCTTACATTCTGTTGTTCTTTTTCTTGTGGAAAAATGTCGATGTTGTTAGATAATTTTGTTATCTCAGATAATAGATGCATTGCATGGAAGCATGATCACAACAAAATTATCTGACAACATCTATTATTTTCGGCATTTTTTAGATAATTTTGTTATCTCGGATAATAGATGCATTGCATGGAAGCATGACCACAACAAAATTATCTGACAACATCTATTATTTTCGACATTTTTCAGATAATTTTGTTATCTCATATAATAGATGCATTGCATGGAAGCATAACCACAACAAAATTATTTGAAAAAATCTATTATTTTCGACATTTTTCAGATAATTTTGTTATCTTAGATAATAGGTGCATTGCATGGAAGCATGACCCCAACAAAATTATCTGACAACATCTATTATTTTACCAAAAATAATAGATGTATAATTTGGGAGGCCAACATTTATGGGCCCCAAAATTTAGGAGGCCACCAAAAATATTTTATATTTAATATAATAATATATAAAATAATAAAATAATATTATATAAAAATGTTAATCCAAACCAAAAAGTATATATAAAATTCCTGATGGGCCCAAAACCCATATCCTTTTGCGCTCATCCAAATCAAACTTATAATTCAGCCATTGTTAATCAAATTGAAAAACTGGTCAGGGTTTAAATTTGTTCAACATAGGTTGTTGGTCTAAAGTTATTATAATTTAGATGCAAATTGATAGACTTATAAACTTAAAAATTTTAGAAAGTGTATATAGCTTCAATTTAGAAATTCAGGTGGACTCTCTTTCTTTTGTTTTACTGCATGTAAATTTAATATAATATGAGTGCAAATTAAAACTTATTTCTATGCAAATACAGAAGTCTTTTCTTACATTCTCTTTTTTATTTTTCTTGTGGAAAAATGTCGATGTCTTTTTCTTACATCCTCTTTTTGTTTTTGTTTTTCTTGTGGAAAAATGTCGATGTTGTCTTTTTCTTACATCCTCTTTTTGTTTTTGTTTTTCTTGTGGAAAAGTGTCGATGGTTTTTCTTGTGGAAAAATGTCGATGTTGTGATCATCGGGATTCATGCTTCCATGCAATGCATCTATTATGAGATTCTCATTAGACAATATTTATGGGCCCCAAAATTTAGGAGGCCACCAAAAATATTTTATATTTAATATAATAATATATAAAATAATAAAATAATATTATATAAAAATGTTAATCCAAACCAAAAAGTATATATAAAATTCCTGATGGGCCCAAAACCCATATTCTTTTGCGCTCATCCAAATCAAACTTATAATTCAGCCATTGTTAATCAAATTGAAAAACTGGTCAGGGTTTAAATTTGTTCAACATAGGTTGTTGGTCTAAAGTTATTATAATTTAGATGCAAATTGATAGACTTATAAACTTAAAAATTTTAGAAAGTGTATATAGCTTCAATTTAGAAATTCAGGTGGACTCTCTTTCTTTTGTTTTACTGCATGTAAATTTAATATAATATGAGCGCAAATTAAAACTTATTTCTATGCAAATACAGAAGTCTTTTCTTACATTCTCTTTTTGTTTTTCTTGTGGAAAAATGTCGATGTCTTTTTCTTACATCCTCTTTTTGTTTTTGTTTTTCTTGTGGAAAAATGTCGATGTTGTCTTTTTCTTACATCCTCTTTTTGTTTTTGTTTTTCTTGTGGAAAAGTGTCGATGGTTTTTCTTGTGGAAAAATGTCGATGTTGTGATCATCGGGATTCATGCTTCCATGCAATGCATCTATTATGAGATTCTCATTAGACAATATTTATGGGCCCCAAAATTAAGGAGGCCACCAAAAATATTTTATATTTAATATAATATTATATAAAATAATAAAATAATATTATATAAAAATGTTAATCCAAATAAAAAAAGTATATATAAATTTCCTGATGGGCCCAAAACCCACATCCTTTTGCGCTCATCCAAATCAAACCAATAATTCAGCCATTGTTAATCAAATTGAAAAATTGGTGAGGGTTTAAATTTGTTCAATATAGGTTGTCAGTCTAAAGTTATTATAATTTAGGTGCAAATTGAAAGACTTATAAACTTATAAATTTTAGAAAGTGTATATAGCTTCAATTTAGAAATTCAGGCGGACTCTCTTTTTTATGTTTTACTGCATGTAAATTTAATATAATATGAATGCAAATTAAAACTTATTTTACTATGTAAATTCAGTTACTTTGATTGGTTGTAAATTATAAAAAAAATATGAGTGTTAAGTTATGGTTACAATTTCTTCTAAAAAAAAATTAAAAGTAAAAATTATGGTTACCGCCCGCTGCGCAGCGCGAGCATTTTGCTAGTTATTCTCCATTAAAACTTAGTGGAAAATTCAGCCTTCTCTAAAATCGTGTTGTAAATTAGCGACTTGGCCCATGATTTGACGCGTGTTGGGCACCCTTAACACCAGGCCTGGCAAATGGGTTGTGTCTGTCGTGTTCGTGTCGTTTTCGTGTAACACCTGTTATTTTAACGGCTCATGTCGTGTCACACCCGTTATCTTAACGGATCCTTAAGTGACCCGACCCGTTATGAACCGCTATGAACCATTAAGAAAATTGTATTATTTTCCTTAAGTTTTCACATACCACACATTGCCACATAAATATTACTTCAAAACATTAAAACACATTTGTCGTTTAAGTACTACATCTACACTTGAAAATAAGAGCCTAATAAACAAACATCCATACACTACTAGTCTATTAAAAAATATTAAATGTGCAAGGATATGCAAAATGAAAGAGTTTTTGTTTTCAAGGTTGTGCAGCCTTTCTCAAAAGTTTAAACCTTGCCAATGGAACTCAAAGCTTTCATATTATTCATTTTACAAAATTCTCAATTTTCATTGATCATTATGACATAAGATTTTATGGTATCCACTAGTGTAAATATTTTAAATTGAAGATCGAATTCATTCATTGTATTCATATAAGGTCAAGGAGTGTACCTGTAAAAAATCATCAAAATTGGAATTAAAATAATCGTTAAATCGTGATTTTTTGTTGATAACCGTTGAAAAGTTTTGTTTCGTTACTTGATCTATGAATGTTTGTTTTTTACGATTTTTGGCATATGAGATCTCGAAGTATATACAAAAATGTTTGATAGCTGGATCGTTGAAATTAGTTTCATAGAATGTGTATCCCATCAAAACAATTGATTCACTAACACTTAAGAGTTTGTTTATACTTTCATTAAGTATAACATAGGATTTTGTGGTATCCACTAGGGTAAATATTTTAAATTGAAGATTAAATTCATTCATTGTATTCATATAGGGTCAAGGAGTGTAGCTGTAAAAAATCATCAAAATTAGAGTTAAAATAACTGTTAAATCGTGATTTTTCGTTGATAATTGTCGAAAAGTTTTGTCTCATTATTTGATCTCTGAATGTTTGTTTTTTGCAATTTTTGGCGTATGCGATCTTGAAGTATATACAAACATGTTTAACGGTTAGATTGTTGAAACTAGTTTCGTAGGATGTGTATCCCATCAAAACAATAGATTCAGTAACACTTTAGAGTTTATTCATACCTTCATTAAGTATAACATAAGATTTTGCGGTATCCACTAGTGTAAATATTTTAATCGAAGATCGAATTCATTCATTGTATTCATATAGGGTCAAGGAGTGTAGCCGTAAAAAATCATCAAAATTGGAGTTAAAATAACCGTTAAATTGTGATTTTTCATTGATAACCGTCGAAAAGTTTTGTCCATTTACTTGATCTCTAAATGTTTATTTTTTGTGATTTTTAGTGTATGCGATCTTGAAGCATATACAAACAATTTTTGATGGTTGGAATGTTGAAATTGATTTTGTAGGATGCGTATCCCATCAAAACGATAGATTCACTAACACTTAAGAGTTTATTCATACTTTTATTAAGTATAACATAAGATTTTGTAGTATCGACTAGTGTAAATATTTTAAATTAAATATCGAGTTCATTCATTGTATTCACATAGGGTCAAGGAGTGTGGTTGTAAAAAATCATCAAAATCAGAGTTAAAATAACCGTTAAATCATGATTTTTCAATGATAACCGTTGAAAAGTTTTATTTCATTACTTGATCTCTGAATGTTTGTTTTTTGCAATTTTTGGCGTATTCGATCTCGAAGTATATACAAACATGTTTAATGGTTGGATCATTGAAATTAATTTGTAGAATGCATATCCCATCAAAACGATAGATTCACTAACACTTAGAGTTTATTCATACTTTCATTAAGTATAACATAAAATTTTGTAGTATCCATTAGTGTAAATATTTTAAATTGAAGATCGAATTCATTAAATGTATTCACATAGGGTTAAGGAGTGTACTTATAAAAAATCATCAAAATCGGAGTTAAAATAACCGTTAAATCGTGATTTTTCGTTGATAACCGTCGAAAAGTTTTCTCCCCGTTACTTGATCTCAAAATGTTTGTTTTTTACAATTTTTGGCCTATGTGATATCGAAGTATATATAAACATGTTTGATGGTTGAATCGTTGAAATTAGTTTCGTAGAATGCGTATCCCATCAAAATAATAGATTCACTAACACTTAAGAGTTTATTCATACTTTCATTAAGTATAACATGAGATTTTGTGGTATCCACTAGTGTAAATATTTTAAATTGAAGATCGAGTTGATTCAATGTATTCGTATAGGGTCAAAGAGTGTAGCTGTAAAAAAATCATCAAAATCGAAGTTAAAATAACCGTTAAATTGTGATTTTTCATTGATAACTGTCGAAAAGTTTTGTCCCGTTACTTGATCTCTGAATGTTTGTTTTTTGCAATTTTTTGCATATGAGATCTCGAAGTATATACAAACATGTTTGACAGCTAGATCGTTGAAACTAGTTTCGTATAATGTGTATCCCATCAAAACAATTGATTCACTAACACTTAAGAGTTTGTTTATACTTTCATTAAGTATAACATAAGATTTTGTGGTATCCACTAGTGTAAATATGTTAAATTGAAGATCGAGTTCATTCATTGTATTTATATAGGGTCAAGGAGTGTAACTGTAAAAAATCATCAAATTCGCAGTTAAAATAACCGTTAAATCGTGATTTTTCTTTTTATAACCGTCGAAAAGTTTTGTCTCGTTACTTGATCTCAGAATGTTTGTTTTTTGCAATTTTTGGTGTATGCTATCTCGAAATAT